CCTTAAGAGATCCTCCCACCTCAGCCTCTCAAAGTGATAGGATTATAGGTATGAGCCACTTTGCCAGGCTGGATTTTTTTTTTAATCCCTTCAGAAGGAGTTCTTATTATTATCCTTTTCTGTTCCAGCCACCTTATAAGATAAATGTGACCAGTTGTCAAATGAGATATTACTTCAGCTTTAGGAGGTTCATTTGTAATGTTCTTTATTTGAATCTAAAATGAACATTTCAGAACGTCACTAAAGAATTCATGGTACAAAGATCTTAGTACATATATAGTTGATTCAATATACTGAGATAGTTGATGATTAACATAACTAGGCCAAGGTAAGAGAGTTTAGCTCCCTTTTTTTTTTTTATGTAACTTGACCGATTTTTTATATTATTAGAATTTTACAATGATATATTACCACAACTATGGATATGCAACCATGTATATGTCTATGATAGACAAAATATTCTGCATTGTAAACTGCAATTGATAAACTTTATTTTTAATAGTGTATATATATCCAGATACAACTAAACTTTGATATGAATAAATATAAAAGCACTTATTGAAAAAAAAATAAGATCCTATCTGACCATTATTTGCCTGGTAATAACATTAAAACATCATTATTCTTCCTTTTCCTTTTGTTCTTCATTTCAGTTCCCAGGATAGTAATGGAGATTAATTCTGCAAGGTTATTTAGCCTACTTTGATAATGTATCGAAACTCAAACCTTTAGTTGATATGTTCTAAGTCGGATATCCAATCATACCTTGATAATCCTCCCCTCCCAAGAAACACTTAGAGTAGCCACAAATAATTTCCCAGGGATTAATTAATGTTATTCATAATATTTATTCAGTATTTATTTTGTATACTTCACTGTACATTCTCCTTAATCTGTGTGGTTAACCAAAGAACCTGAAAACTGAGCATACAACTTTATATGTATACGTTCTTTATACAGCAATGTGTTTAATTTCTTTTCCAAATCTACATATTATAGCAGTATCAAATACTATTAAGCAATTTTTAATTGTGCCCTTTTTGTTTAAATTATATTAATGGAATAAACCTGCCATTTCATAATTTGTATTCACAGAATCACTGTCCAAATTCCTTTCTTTACTTACCCCATTATAGTTATATTCCCACATCAATTAGGATCATTCAAATAAGTAAGTTATCAAGTCTTTATCAAATATCTAATATGTGTCCAGAGCTATGCAAGATACTTTGGAGGCTGTGGAAGAAATACAAGATATGACCCCTGATGTCAATAAGCTTGAAATCTAAAGGCAAAGACTCCATTTCTGAAACAAGCAGAGAAACACATAAGCAGAATGAAAGTCAGTGATAAATTATGTAAGACCTAAGTATTAAGAATAGGGAGGGCAATATAAGCTAAATAAGTTATTGAACTTGACCTGGGCTTTGAGGTGATGGGTAGAAGGATGTGGCATTTAATCTTAGACTTGAAGGATTGACAGATGGACAGATATCCAAAATAAATAAAGCCCCGGCCAAAGAAAGTGGGTAAGTTTTCTGAAATTGAGAATTTTAAATGCAGACTAAATTGAAAATGCTAAAATTATTTGTTTGTTTTACAGCTGGAATGACAACCATTAGGAGTCAGTTAGTGCAGCCCACTATGATTATCATTAATATTTAAAAAGTTAATCATTCTCAACTTTTTTATATAGAACAATGAAGACATGGCTGAAAATTTTAAAAGATTATAGACTGAATGATGTACTTAGCACAGGTCTATGTACTTTGAATTCTCAATAAGATCGAGAACTTACTACAAAAAGAAACCTTTTTTGTCCATGTCTCTAACCAAAGAGATCTGCTCTCAAAATGTCTTTAATTTGTGGTTGCTGACTCTGCTCTACTATTTGAAGTCATGATTTTGTATTGCAGATTATTTTGAAACGACAGAGCTACACGTGTCAAAAAAGAAACTAGAGTAAGAAAATTAAAAATTGACGCAACATTACAATATAGCTTTTGTGCGAATTTTCCAGCTTTAAAAATGATACTGAAGTTGCCACTTTTCTTTTGTTGAGAGATAGGGTAAGGATGGGATGGATGTAGAGGTAGAGTACAGAAATGTGTTATGCCCCTCAATTCATTAGCCCTGATACGAGGCTCTTACTGAAGTCCAGTGCATACAGACGTGTAGTCCCCTGCATCTGTAATGGTGTGGACAGGCTGGAACAGCAGCAGTGGAAGTGAAGGAGTGCTTCCAACAAGGCCTCCGAAGCCTGCATATACGAGCAGAGGGCTCCAGCAGAGTCACTCATACATTCGAGAATTAAAGAAAGTTTAATCTGACAATTTCAAGTAAAATCCTTTTCTTCAATTGAGTTTCTAGATACTTCTAGTTTATTTTAATTGTTTGGAGTAACAAATATACCTATTAAAGAATTAGAGACTGATGAAAATAA